ATAGGCAAGGATGGATTATTATGCATAATAGAGGTAGCAATGCCTTGAACCTCTACTTAGTGAGTCAATGATTCCTATCCCAAAGTCACTAGTGAGCAAAGTCTTGAACTAGGACTACTTAGAGGATATAGGAGACCATATTACACACATTATAATCCATGGGTTAATTTGAGCTTGTAAGCCGACACATTACGGCCCTTTGTGCCTAATCCTGTATTCATGGATGATCTAGAGAATAGCCCTATTCTCATAGGAGCGGCCCCACTCCGACATCCATATAGGTGAAATTTGTCAAGGGTGCTCCCATAACTAAGACACCCCACTCAATGAGCTACAAATTTCATTAAGAGTGTATAACACTCAACCCTCACATACGTTATGAGATAGATGCATCTACATCTTGGGAATGGAAATATATATATATTTTTATGCATCTTTCAACAACGACCTCTCTATGATTCGTTTTTCCCATTCGAAACCCAAATTCTCAAGAATTGGGTTGGGTATCCTCATAGGAAGTTTCACATTCTTTGGGCTTCAATCCCATTCCCCTCGATGTAATCCAGATCTTCTCTCTAGCCAGAGCTTTTGTAAATGGATCAGCAATATTTTCACTTGATGGTATATAATCCACGTGGATTGTCCCATTGTCCAAGTAGGACCTCACAATACTATGTTTCCTTCGAATAGATCTGGATTTACCATTATAAAAACAGTTATTCACCTTATAAATAGCAACAGTACTATCACAGTGAATGAGTATAGGAGGCACTGGTTTTTCCCATAGAGGAATTTCAAACAACAAATCTCTTAGCCAACTAGCTTCTTCAGAAGCTAGTGCTAATGATATCATCTCTGCCTCCATAGTTGACTTTGCAATTATTTGTTGTTTCTTAGATTTCCAACTCACAGCACCACCACCAATCTTAAAAATATACCCTGAAATAGATAAAGAATCACCTAACAAGGTGTTCCAATCAGCATCACAAAATCCTTCAAGTATAGCAGGGTATCTTTGATAACATAAACCATAATTTTTGGTAGCACATAAATATCCCATTAAGTGTTTAACACACTCCCAATGAAAGGAATTAGGCTTGCTAGTAAATCTCCCTAACATTCCAACTGCATAAGAAATATTAGGTCTAGTGCAATCAGTAAGATACCGTAAACTACCAATGATACTAGCATATTCCTTTTGATTGAGAATATCTCTATCATGTAAAGTGGGATACAAATGCATACTAGGTGATAAAGGCGTCATAACATGTCTAGAATTATGATAGTTATATTTCTTCAAAATTTTTTCTATATAATGACATTGGTCAAGAAAGATTCCATCATAATTCCTAGTTATTTTCATGCCAAGAATTACATTAGCCTCACCCAAATCCTTCATGTCAAAATGCCTATTTAACAATGACTTAGTAGAATCAATCACCTCTAAATTTGAACCAAAAATCAAGAGATCATCAACATACAAACATATAATAACATGATAATTATTGAAGAATCCAAAATATATGCATTTATCACTTTCACTTGATTTAAAACCATGTTCTATCAAGCAAGTATCAAATTTCTCATGCCATTGTTTTGGAGCTTGTTTCAAACCATAAAGAGATTTAGTCAATTTACATACCTTGTCCTCCTGCCCAGGCATAACAAAACCTTCAGGTTGATCCATGTAAATTTCTTCATGCAAGTCTCCATTTAAAAATGTCGTTTTAACATCCATTTGATGGATGAGCATGTTGTGAACGGCGGCTACAGCTATAAGTACTCTAATGGAAGTCACTCTTGTTACAGG